GAACCAATCATGAGGAAGATGGCAGAGGAGGACGCTTTTCAGTAATGAGAGAAATAAGCTAACTACATTAGGTAGCTTTGGTTTTGCAAAATAAGGCTTTAAAAAATAAAACCTTAAATCTGATTCCAGAGATCACTTTAACAATTGCTCGTGAAAATAACTTTTAAAGTTTCTTTTGTCAAACATTTCAGAAAGCATATTGGGAAATGAGATTTAACTATACATACACATACAGTTTGTAACGGCCTATATTCAGATTTTGAGCTCCATTCCTTTGTTCAGCACTGTGACGGGTAAGAATTTCAGAAGCTGAAGACAAAATTAAATACATACTCTGTGTTTAAGGAGCTTAAATAAAGTTTAAAAAATTAGTTGTGTGACAAAACTAATATTAAAGACAGGAATATAGGCTAATAATATTAAAATATGTTTTACTGTGTTGCACAAGTTCATTTGCAGAGTGTTAGAGTTGATACGATTTTCGTCTGCTTGCTCAATATCTGTGTGGTCGTTTTATTCTGTACTCTGCAACTCAAAAGATACAGGGCATCGCGCTATTGGATGACTAGTACATGCACATTAGTGCTAACGCTTTTGTATTGGACTTAATAGTTGATATTTTCCCCCCAACATTCTCTATGAAGTAGATACCAAGTTCTGATCATCCTCATTATGAGTTAAGAAATGTTATGTTTACATATATGAAATATTTATAAATTTTATTTAGATCACAATGTTCAGACAAATCAAGGGGACACTTTTTCCCCCTAAATTTATTTGTATTGCTGGAGATTTTTAAAAAATTTTATTTAATATGTATTTATTGATTTCAGAGAGAAGAAGGGAGAGGGGGAGAGAGAGAAACATCAATGATGAGAATGAGAAGAAGGGAGAGGGGGAGAGAGAGAAACATCAATGATGAGAATCCTTGATCCACTGCCTCCTGCAGGCCCCCTACTAGGGATCGAGCCTGCAACCTGGGCATGTGCCCTGACTGGGAATTGAACCACGATCTCCTGGATCCTAGGTCAATGCTCAACTGCTGAGCCACGTCAGGCCAGGCAAGGGGACCCTTTTAAATGAGACTGTGTAACCCCAATGAGTAGCAGAAAAGGTAGACCTACACTTAGTAGAGTCTCAGTCCTGACCCCTGATACAGCTCCACAATAGGAAGTCTTAGGGATCTAAGCAATAGCTTGAAAACTCATTTAGATTTTGTGAATAGTGAATGCATAAAGATTTTTTGTTTTAGTATATTTTTAAACAGTTCCCTTTCTCCTTGATATTAAAAGGTCATAGTACCTAATCTTAAGTGCCACTGTGTAAAGGCCAACTCCCAATGTCAATAATTTTCTTGGAAGGAGAGGAATGCAGTGGAAGTTGCTGCTTCCACAATCTGTTGTCGAAGCTATTGCCATTTAAAATGTTCCCACTTTTACAACAACAAAAATACATTTAAATAAAATGAGAAAAAATGAGAATAAAAATTTTAAAAACTGGGGGGAAAAATGTTTCCACTTTAATCAACAGTAGCAACCATTTCCTTCTTTTTAACTTAAAGCAGTTTACAACGTGTGTGCCACAAGAATTTTTAAAACATGCAATACCTGACTAGTCAGGGGCACTGACCTCTTCCCTCAGTCAAAAAAAAAAAAAATGACAGCAGCCAACACAATAGCTGTCTGGTGTGAGTGAACCAAAACTAGACCTATTTTGGTCAGATGGGCAAAAACATTTTTTGGTGTGTCATAGAATTTTAGTTACTAGTTTATATACAGCACATTTTGGGATGTGTTTAAACACATTTAAACCATGTATGAATTTACCACTGCATTTGAAGGAAGATGACTTATAGGATCCAGAGAAGAGTATCTGGTACTGTAGTAGGCAGGCAGACATGAACAGAGCAAGGATGATGGGCCAGGTACAGGTCACCAGGGCTGAAAGTCCTGGGTGCCTACCAAAGGAAAATTGTAGGGTGGGACCTCATCCCAGGGTGACCTTTCCTCCCCTAGCATATTATCACTGGTCATTCGATTTGGACCCCCTGACCTTTCCTCCCTAGAGAGAACATCTAGGCCTCAGTTGTATTTCAGCTTCAGGCCCAGAAAAGAAGCAAAATCAGACAAGCAACACCATGGCTAAGGCTGACCACAGGACCAACTGCCATAGTGCCAAAGGATCAATCAGTAGAGACCCCTCACCCTGAAAGGACACACCTGGAAAGCTGAATAGTCTATTGAGATCTTCCCCTGCGACCTCCCCTAAAACCTCCACCCTTAAAACCGTTAGGACTAGGACCCAGTGCGCTCTCCCACTTCAGCCTTTCTCCTTCCCCTCCTCCCAGGCACTTCACCTTTACCTTCCTCATTTCTAAGCTTTAAGGTCCCTTCCTTTGCCCATTTATTCCCTAAACCTATTTCTTCTATGAATTACTTCTTCCACCTCTGTGGCTTTATATATATAAATGTTCTTTATAGTCTTTGCTCTGAATTTTCCCAGCCAGAATTCAATTACTGAGGTTGCTGAACCCAGGGGGTCTGACTCCAGGGGTCTAACACCTGGTGCATTTCCCCTCACCTCCAACAGTACTAGTTGCTACAATTTGACATTCCCCTAATATTTGCTGGAGGCTTGTTTTAATCAACATTTTATTCCATGAAACACAATTTGACCTCTAGGCCTAGGGGTGACCCTTCTATGGAAATGAAACTGGAAAGAATGGGTCTGGGCTGCCTGTTCCTCCTTCAGCCAACTAAGCAGGGACAAGGTTGAATCATACATAAGCGTTTATGGCAATACTGCTGGAAAAATGGGAGAGCAGAGGGATTTGTCCACAATCTGCTCTGTCCTTACTAGTTTGCTGACGATATAAAGATAAGAAAGGCTGCATGCAAGGGGGAGGCTGGGGTGGGAAGATGGCTGGAAGATGTGTGGTCCCTGTGTCTCCTTTCAGGATCTTGAAGTCTGATAATGAAGTATTTTTCAGTGGTGTTAAAACCCAGCTGCGGCAGTTCCTGGGACTTGAGAATGGTCAGCATTCCTGAGGCAAACACATGGGA